AAATTGAGATTCTCAACGAAATTACTCCTATAAAATATTATTTCGCAGACTATGTTTTTATATACGAAAAGGACATGGTGATAACAACCAATAATTTCTTTTTTTGAAATTTTCCAATCATCATCAATCCAATGACATGTACTACCCAATAAGAATGCATTTGCCAATGATCACTTCAACATCACAACCAAATTGAAACACGAAAGTTTTCAATTGAGAAAAATAAAAGCTTCTAACTTCTTTTTCTATCCGAATCTTTATATATAAAAAAAATAATAGTTCATTTTACAGTACTCTTCTTGGTACTCTTCCAGCAGAAGGATTATATTTAAAGCTTTTTGTACAATAATTATTAAAACCTATTTTTTCCACCAAAACTAAAAGGCATCCACAATGTCCATTTAGAAATCTTTTTTAATTCTTCTTTTTGTTATTTTTTCCAGAATAATTTCAAATAAAGAAAATGTTTTGAGAGCGTACCCCGGGGAAAATTTTGTTGTTGAGGACCGATTCAACTCCAATTTTTGTGAGATATTTTGTCTACAAATGCTTCCAAATGAGTCCTAGCCGCCCCGCTGTTTTAAATTTATAGATTTTCCACCAATAATTGCAAATATACATCGGTACTAATTGCAAATTATATCGTACATTTTCTCACCTTTGAATTTTTTTGTGAAATGAATGGAGAATATGTCGGAACTTTATCTTGCTCTTGTAACAATTTTTGCTCGTAGCTCTTGCTCTTGCTCTTCATCTTCTTAAAATTGCTCATTAAATTCGGATTCTTGAGTTGGAATATCCAAATTTTCATTTGGAAAACCCTCAAAATTACATTGGTCGGGAATCATATCATAGATGTCGTTTGTAGGGATAGATGATTCTCCAATTTTTCCCTTGCCCTTACCCGAATTTGAGTTTCCTCCACTTGATTATTATATTAATAAAAATTATAATTTGGAAAATTGAATAAAAAAAAATTAAGATGAGAATAATTTACTTAATAAGAAGAGATTGTTAGAGTTACATAAATGAATAATATAGTAGGTCTAGAGTGTTGTAATATTGTTAGAGAGAATTTAAGTTTAGAAGAGTCGTCGTAGTTATGATGTTAGAGAGAGTAAGTCCGAGAAGAGTTTGAGATTTTTTTGTAATGGGAATTTGTAAATTAAAATGAGCGTTATTTATAATAAATCCAAAAAATTCATTTTCCAAAAATACCCTTGAAACTTAAGCAAATTCATTTTTCCAAAAATACCCTTGAAACTAGCCGTTATGTAGCTGTTTATGGCTGTTGGGAGGGGTAATTAAGACATTTCACAATAAATTTTTTAAAAAAAACAGCAGGTCTGACAGTTACAACGGTTAGAACCGCCGGTTCGAACTGGCGGTTCTAACAGGACGGAGAACCGGCGGTTCCAGTCTGGTCCTGACCGGTTCTCTGGAACCGCCGGTTCTGGTTCCTTATTCGCTGGAACAGGAACCGAACCGGATTTTTTCGGTCCCGGTTCCGGTTCATCCCAGTTTCGTTTCTCATCGGTTCCGATTATGATTTCGGGCTGGTTCGAACCGATGGTTTCGGTTCCCGAAATCGTAATTTGGCCATGCTTACCCCCAAGTGGACAATACTAACCAGGTGTGGGCCATGACATTTGGTATCAGAGCCGATGCCTCATTCCTCTGGCCGATGGTGGGGCAAACCTCAGCGCGAACGCTGAGTCCCTACGGGGGGTGACTGTGAGGGATCTAAGCCTACAGTGCACCTAGGCGAATCCCACATCGGTTAAGTGCGAGGAGTAAGGGATGTACATAAGAGGGGTGGTTTCTCACTTTTGCTAAGCTTGCATAGCAGACCAATCACATTCAAAGGCATATTGAGATTCAATTTTTCTATGCAGATATTCCTTGATATCTCGTAGTTTTGTTTATGTTTTCTATATTTTATTATTTTTCAATATTTTTTAAATGGATTAAAAAAAAAAAAAAAAAAAAAGAGCTTATACAAATTACGGAATATTTTGCTAGCTTGCATAGCAGACCAATCACATTCAAAGGCATATGAGATTCCAATATTTTTCTATGCAGATATTCCTTGATATCTCGTAGTTTGTTATGTTTTTATATTTTATTATTTTTCAATATTTTTAAATGATTAATCTTATTCAAATACACCTAATTGAATATAGATCATTGGTACGTAATAATTTATGCAGATATTCCTCCATATCTCATATTTTATATTGTATTTTATATTTTATATTTTATTATTTTCAGTATTTTTAAATTATTACTCTTATAAAAATTTCTGCCATCTGTATTTTAATAATTTATAACTTATCTCGACTACTCATAAGTCATAAATAAAATAACAACAGTCTAAATCTGTAAAAGAATTATTAATCAAAATTATTATTTTTAAAAATTATCTTTCTAATTTCTATATTTTATAATTGCTAAATCCATAAATTTATCGATGTAATATTTGTAAAAAGTTGTACTCTTAAATTTTACTTTTCACTCGTTAAACATTTCAGCTTATAAAATTTTACCGATCAAACACTTTAATTTATAAAATCATTCTTTAGATGCTCAATATTATAAAGTTTAAACACTTATTTTGAATAATTGAAAAATATAAAAATTATTGCTTCAAAACCTGTAATTACAACACATTAAATTAATATTTTACATATAAAAGTTAAAACCTTAAAAATTATTGTTGCTAGTGTGAAAGTGTGCAATATTACCTAAATTTGTAACTTTAAGAGCATAATAGGCCTAACCATTAATTTCACTCCGAACTTTTTGGGTTGTTGCAATTTCATTTTAAATCGACTTTTATACCTTGGTACCCTTAACTTTAGAATGAAATTGTAACTACTCGAAAAGTTTGGAGTGAAATTAAATATTAAGTCAAGCATAATAAATCTTCTATAAATTTTAAAGTACCGCACATATTTACCAAAGTATATAGATGGATTCATATATTTAGCGATTTTATAAGTGTGAAATTATACATTTCTTATATTTGATTTGTATTTATTTTCTGTTAATCAACTAATAAGACTAAGAAAAAAAACCAATAAATTTAAGTTTAGATTTAAAAAATTGTTCTTTGATTGGTACTTCCCTTTATTTCTCCTTCTTTATATTTTTTAATCTTATAGTTAAAGTTTTAACAAATTAATAAAAAGACAATATAATTGTAAAGTTGAAAATTAATTTTTAAAATTAGAGATGCTAATAAGTACCATATGCTTATATATATATAGGATCCAAGTTAGGTGAACTGAACCGAACAGTTGATGAATATAAGTATGTTAGAGAGGAGTAGCTTGTTACCATGTCCAATCATTAGTTTGGTAGTGTCCTTAACTGATCTCTGCTGAGTAGCGCAATCTTTGGTCCATGCCTCACCCATGTGCTCACCTATATAAACAAATTTACAGCTAAAAAAAAAAAAAAAAGAGTTCAAAGAAATTCAGAGTAATTGGTTGACCTATATCTCTGCATGGTCTGTTCATTAAGTTGAGAGAGAATAATTGAGTGCAATTTACTTTAATTTATTGCATATTTTAATCAATAAATATTATATTTATTAAATATATATTTTTTGTCATCCAGACGGAGTTAATAACCTTTTTATGCAGTTAATAACCTTTTTACGTCTTGTAGCAGAAGTGGATCGTCAAGTGTAGAGTTAGATTTTAGAATTTAAAGGTCAAATAAAATTTTCAAAAGTTAGAAATCAAAGTTTGTACTAAATTATAAAGCAAATTAAAAAAAAAAAAGGTTTCTAGAGTTTAGGAGGTCGGGCTTCAACAATTTCTCTCTTTTGGCCTATGTGGATAGTCAGAGGTGTCAAGCTCAATTCTCTTTATAACAAAATTACAGTAATTTGGTGATCGTTATTCAATAAAAAGAATTATTTTTATTGTGTATATCATAATGCTATTTCGGTCGTTACAATTACAACAAGCCTCCTCCTTCAGTTCTTTAAGTTGCTTAATGCAGATAGGGTTGGTGCCATTTAGATTAAACATGTAGTTTAATTCATTGGATTTAATCTTGCTTTGCAATGAAAAGGATTATAATTTTTGGAAAAAAATAAAGTGAATCCTTTATATATTGAATATAAAAATGTGAAATTTTTATGGAATTCATTTATATATTCATCTTTGTCAATTTAAATTTTATAATTATTTTATTTCATATAAATTAAATGAATTTCCCTTAAAAAAAGATAAAAATTAATTTAATTTAATAAAATTTTAAGGAATTAATTTGTAAATCAACTATTGAAATATTTGATCGTATATAAGAAAATTTAATTAGATTTTTTTTTCCAATTTTTAGTTCTACTGAATTGATTATTTCAAATGGATATAGAATTTGCAAATGAGTATTAACCTTAACAAAGATAAAAACTAATAAAACCATAAAACTTTATGTGCAAATTATTAAATTTATATAATTAAATAAAATTTTCATTTAATTTAAGCACCGAACTCGTTTACAAATGAATTCTTTTAATGAAATTTATATTTAGAAATAAAATGAAATGAATTTCATTTTTATTTATGCCAATCTAGCGGTAATTAAGTTGCGATAAAATCACATAATTGATATATATTTTCATGAATTTTCTTAATTTTGTGAGTGATGCATTTTGGTTTTTGGTAAATCTGACTCCAAATGAAATTGGAAATCAAGACTTTGGAGGCTGTTCTAATATAAAGAAATTAATTAATAAAAATTTTGAGTAAAAGAAAAAGAAAAATAAAAATCAAATAATTCCAATTATTAATCTACTATTAAGCTCATAATAGGGTAATAAGAAATTTCTTTTTTCACCAACTATAGTCTAGATGTCATTTGAATATTAAGAGTCAAGACAATTTGCCTAACCTTAGCCATGGAGCCTCTTTTGTCTCTTTCTTAACCACCAACATATATTCAACTTAAAATGACTCAGTTTCCTCATACTCCATCATCATCTTCAACCTCCAACACTCTGTCTCTGTCTCTGTCTCTCTCTCTCTCTCTCGCCCTCTTTCTGTCATGGGGAATGCAACTTCTTGCGCTCCTTCCATAATCCCATCAAGTGGAGTAGTCAAAGTCCTGTTTTCTAATGGAACCTTTCAAATCTACACAAAACCAGTAAAAGCTGCAGAGCTAATGGTAGAGAATCCAGGACAATTTGTATGTGAATCTACAAGTCTCAAAGTAGGTCAAAGAGTTCAAGGCTTATTAGCTGATGAAGAACTAGAGAGACGCCAACTCTACTTTCTTCTTCCTATGGATTTGCTTTACTCTGTTCTAACGCAAGAGGAATCCACTTCTCTAACTTGCAGAGCTACCAAAGCCTTCAAGTTTAATCATTTCGGCAAGATTTTTCCCGACTTTCGTATATTCCCATCAGAGATGAAGAAAATGGAGACTGCATCAAGTCCAAACTGCATTGAGCCAAAGCTTGTAGAAAGCTATTCCAAGCAAAGATCATGGAAGCCTGCTCTAGAGACCATTGTTGAAAGTTGAAACTCCTTCTGGGCCTCTTTGATGCAGAATAGTTTTTTCTTTTTTTGTATTAAATTTTCTCTCTCCCTATCTTTTTTTGGTTTTTTCTGATATTACATAATACATATTAATTAAATATTCTTATAATTCTTTTTTATTAATTGATTTTTTTTAAGAAATTAATTCTTACATTTGAAGGTTGCAGTTACTATGTATAATTATAATATAGAAATAATACAATATAACAACTAACTCTTAGTCTGAAGTCAGTTGTAATTGATTATATAAATTTTTTATTTCCTTTTGTATATGACTAGGTTCACAATAAAAGTTCTATGAAAGGATGACGTAGAAAATATAACTCGATATTAAATTAATATACTTTATCATATTTATAATTCTCTATTTATCTATAATTTATAATGTATCTGTCTGTAATAAGTTATATCTATAATCTATCTATATATAATTAGATATGTCTATAATCTATAATCTATAATCTATAATCTATATTTATATAACATATATAAAAGTGTGAATGAAAGGGGAACATTAGATTTTGTAAAAAATGTTCCTACTAAGTTTATTGATTGGTAAAAAAATCATTAAAGATTTAATGTTATTGATTGGAAAATAAATCTAATTTAATTATGATTGATCATATTAATTTCCTATTTAAATCTAAATTCTATTGGATAAACTGGAAAAATTATATTACACACTAAATAAGGTATATATTAAATATGGTAAGAATATAATTTTAATTTTATTACTTAAAAAAATAAATATAATATAATTTTGATTGGTAATATTATACTACATAAGATACATATTAAATAAATTTAAATTGACTAAAATATGATTTATGCTTATATAGATAAATTATTGTGTTACAAATTATATAGTAATTTTAATTATATAGAGATATCATTTATGACATGACATGTGTTAATTATAGAGTTTTTTAGGATGTAGCTAGAGTTACCCATTGTTTGGAACAAATAAATTCCACAAAATTTTGTGAAATTCATTTAGAAATTTATATTTTCGTGTTTGAAATGAGAAAAGTGTAAATTTCAATTCTAGAAATTCAATTTTATGGAATTAAATATAACTACACCAAATTCCATAAAAATAGGTGGAATTTCTAAATGAATTCCACAAAATTAAGCAATCCAATTTTTTTATAACAAAATTACCCTTCCCTTCTACAAAGTTAATTTTTTAATTTTTTTATTTATTTAACTTATTTATTTTATCAAACTTGACCAAAACCATTTAAAAATATTATTTTTTTAGAAAAAATATTTTCTTGTTATTGTATTTTTTAGTTTAATATTTTAATATTTTATTTTAATATTTTTTACTATTCTTTTACTACTGACCAGAGAGATTCAAGTTAAATATATATTTATCAATAAATTAAATGTAATAATTTATTAATATTATTTTTATTTTATATATTAACAAAATTACCCTTCCCTTCTTACAAAGTTAATTTTTTTAATTTTTTTATTTATTTAACTTATTATATTTTATCAAACTTGACCAAAAAACCATTTTAAAAATATTATTTTTTTAGAAAAAATATTTTTTCTTGTATTGTATTTTTTAGTTTAATATTTTAATATTTTATCTTTTATATATTTTTTTACTATTCTTTTACTACTGGACCAGAGAGATTCAGTTTTAAAATATATATTTATCAATAATTAAAAGTAAATAAATTTATTCTAATATTATTTTTAATTTTAATTATATTTATTTTAATAAAAAATTCATAAAAAATTATATAACATAATTAATATAAATTGGATAATTTATTATTTATTTTGTTATTTTAACGGATAATGTTAGGGGAAAATAAAAGCAAATGAATATTTTTAATTTATTGAATTTATTTTTAATACCAATAAAAAATTATATAACATAATTTAAATATAATTGATATTTATTATTTATTTGTTATTTTAAGGATATTTTAGGAAATAAAAGCAAATGAATTTTTAATTATGAATTTATTTTATACATGATTATATAGAATTCAATTGAATTATATGTTCTACGTTAATCATACCAAATATGAAAATTTATTCATAAATGAATTCTACTAGAATTTATTTACAAGTGAATTCCATATTTTAAATTCATTCATACCAAACGGTGTGTAGTCTAAAGTTAGTTTGTAATCGATTATATAAATTTTTTATTTCATTTTTATATATGAATAGGTTCACAATAAAAGTTCTACTAAAGAATGATGTAGAAAATGTAACCCGATAATAAATTAATATAATATTTATTATATCTATAATTCTCTATAATCTATTTATAATATATCTATATATAATTATTGTTAAACTCTCAGAAATTGAAGATGTTTTAGAATTGTGAATTAACCCCTTCTAGGCTTATTTGAAAATATATATATTGATGGAGAGATAATTATAGTTGGATAAGAATAGTAAGAATCCTAGTTTATTTGTTAATCAGAGTTTATTTAGGAGTCTAATATCTTTTTATATTGTTCTTTATATATATTTTTTTATTGATATTATCAGTAACACCCTTTAGTTATTTGGTCATTTATGTAGAAATATGGTAATTATTTAATTATATTTTTATTTTTATTTTTTGTTTTTTCAATCATAAGAGATTTTTTGTCTACATATGTTGTCAAAAAAAGAAAGATCGCTCCATTTGATGTAAACGAAATGCTGGTTTGTTTAACTAGGGGTACTTCAAGAGTTACTTCATTAAATATGGTGACCTTTCGGTACTCCGCCTTGCCTATATAGGGCTTTCATCTTACCTCATTTGCCTCACTCTCAACATCTTCGAACATTAGAGCTTCTCTCTCTATACTTTTCTCTCTCTACTTATTGTGTTTTGGTAAGTTTTATAACATCTGCCCTGTTTTCTTGTTTATTGTTGGGTGAGGTCATGGGTTTGTCTAGCGATGAAGACATTCAAGTTTCAGTTGATCACTCTGAGGATGAAAACGTTGAGGTTGTTGAATTGTCCGCTTTGGTGTAGTCCACGGACGCCCTACCCGCAGGTGAAATGGAAAACTTCCCAGGAGGTCACCCATCCTAGGATTTCCGTTAAGCAAGCACGCTCAACCTTGGAGTTCTTCCAACTCTCCAGCCATTCCACCAAATCCAGCCATTTCAACCAAAAGCGCCTCTACACGATTAGATTTCCGCCCTTTTCGATAATATGATCTCCGATTCCATTTTTGTTGTCCGCATTCCACTACCCTAGCTAGCCTGCATCCCTAGGATCGTTTTGCCGGGTCGGATTCAACAGGCCCACCAGCTTCCGCGTGTTCGTCCTCGAACAATTACATCTACTAGAGGGTCCGACTCTGATACTAGCCGTGGCTGCAGGAACAGTGAACTCACTTAGGCGAATCCCACACATCGATTAGTGCGAGAGCGAAGTGAATGTAACTTAAGGTGGGCGGTTTTTCAACATTGTGAGAGGCCACTTTTGGTGTAATGGCTTTGGAGAGTTGGAAGAAACTACCAGGGTTTAAGCGTGCTCGCTTAATAAAATCTCAGGATGGCGTGACCTCCTTGAAGTTTCATTTCCACCTGCGGGACAAACCTTGAGTGTAGGGCGGTGCGGGACTACAACTAGGTAAGGCGTCGTGGACTAACACAAAGGCGAAAATTCCCTCGTGATAGAGTCGGGGCGTGACATTGGTACTCAGAGCCGGACCCCCTCCAGTAGATGTATGGTTTTGAGGACGAACCATGCGAGAAGCGGTGGGCCTGTGACATCCGACTCGCAAAGCGATCCCGAAGGAGGCAGGACAGCTAGGTAGGAACTGCGGGAAAACAAGAAATGAATCGAATCATATATCGAAAAGGGGAAACCTAAATCGTTAGAGGCACCTTTGCGTGAATGCTGAGAGTTGAAAGAACTCCAGGGTTAAGCGGTGCTTCGCTTAACGGAAATCCCTAGGATTGGGTGATCTTCTGAGAATGCCGCCCATTTCCCCCCAAGAACAAAATCGTGGGGGCGTAGGCCCAGAGCGGACAATACTCACAACATGGGCTGGGCCATTACATTTGTATTAGAGCCGAAGCCTCGCTCCTTGGCGGGTGGTGGCAAACCTCCAGCGAGGACTTAAGTCCCCAAAGGGGGTGAGCGGTGGCTGCAGAAGCCTGCACTCACCTTAGGCGAATCCACATCGGCTTAAGTGGCGAGAGGGAAGTTTATGTATTTAAGGTGGGGCGGTTCAAACATTTGTGAAGAGCACCTTGTGGTGTAAATGGCTGGAGAGTTTGGAAGAACTCCAGGGTTTAGCGTGCTCGCTTAATAGAAATCTCAGGATGGTGACTTCCTGGGAAGTTTCCGTTTCACCTCGGGACAAAACCGGAGTGTAGGGCGTAACGGGGAACTACACTGCGGTGTAGGCGTCGTGGACTACCACTTCGGTGTAGGCGTTCGGACTACACCAAAGCGGAACAATTCCCTGGTGATCAGAGTCGGGGCGTGGACATCATACGATGAAACGAGCTCTAACATATACTCGAAGTATGATAGTTATGCATAATATAAGTTAGTTCGACATCAGCAGATATGAGCAAATACTGCACTGGATAGTGATCTATTATGTTGTTACGAGAGAGTTTGGAATTCTCAGCCTCGATTTCCCTTAATCCTGACCCCCTTGACAGTCATTTATATCAGCAAAATCAACTTCACCCTAACGGCTTGAGACTTTTAGTGTGTATAGACCGCGTTGGCCTTGCCGTGATGGCGATGACTTTTACAGCTCAAGGAGTGTGAGAACTTTAATCAATGTACAAATCTACAAAAAAGGACCACGCTCCTCAAGTAAGGAATAACGCAATATTTCCTATCAAGTATTAAGATTCTTCTTTGAAGAAATCGGAAAACTACAAGTTTTTTATTGTTCAAGGATTTTGGGAGGGTGCGGGATACCGAACCAATAGTCCTAAATGCCAAGCGGCGCACCTCCTTGCTTTCAGCCTACCCCTGAAAGATCAGCAATATGGGATTTAATACAAGGCTAGAGATAAATCGGTGAACTTGAGGCCAAGTAATTGCGAGAGTTATCCAATATATTCTCCTACACCTTTTGAGACCTCAAACCCTTCACTTCCTGTAAGTTTTGCTCTAATTGCCTAACCATTGTTTTTATACTGATATGCTTAATTTTTTTTTTTTTTTTTTTTTTTTTTGTGTAGGGATGGT